AGAAGTGACTTTCTTCTTGCAAGATCGGCAGACAGGGTGACCGTCCTCGATTAAATTGCCTTCAGGACTCTTGTAAAAGCCAAAATACGACCAGATCTCCGATGATGGCTGAAAAATCTCCTGAGTGCTGTCACTGCCTTCCGCCATTTCGTCTTGTGCAAAAAAACAACATTGCATGCTGCTTCTGTGTCAGACTGATGCTGGCTGGACAGGATTTACAGTGAGTTTTCAAAATCGCGATAATCAAACACGGTTTTGATGATAAAATTTTAAACGATAATACTAACCGTCAGGGCATTTTATTGTGAGTTATCGTGAAACCGGTAAAAGCTTTAAACCATTTCTCACGTTTTGGTGGTTAGACAGGGAGAAAGGGTAGTGGATTGTTTTTTCTTTTGGGGCTTTTTCTTTTATTAGGTAAGTTAGTTTCTTCTTAAATTAGTTAACACTAGTGCTGTCAAAAGATTAATCGCGATTAATCGCATCCAAAATAAGTTTTTGTTTACATAATATATGTGTGTGTACTGTGTGTATGTTTATTATGTATATATAAATACACACTCATACAGTATATATTTAGAAAATATTTACATATATTTACATGTAGGCTTATATATTTATATTAGGGATGCACGATATATCGGTCACCATATCGGTATCGGCCGATAAATGCTAATTTTTTCTGTTATCGGTATCGGCCTGATAAGAAAATTTGCCCGATATCTTAAAGCCGATAAATAATGCATTATTTCCTTCAGAGACACTTCAGATGCGCACTGTTCGTTTGCAGCCTTTTGTGCAATTGTACGTTGTAATATTGTGTTTATTTGATGTATATCTGATTTATCTCATATAGAATGCGTTTGGTTAAGTTAAAAGAGCGCTTCAGTTTACCGGTGATCGTCTTTAGCTCAGCGCACGCAGCTCAAACAGCAGTGCACAACATTAATAACTATGATTGGGAATGTTGTGTATATAACATTCTAATGAGAACATTATTATAATAAAATGTTGTGCATTCTTTGGGTTTAGTTGCTGTGTTTCAGCGCGTTGATATGGGAAGAGCGCATCGACAACAGGATCACACATTCTATAGCACTCTATAGCACTATAGCACGCAATAACTGCATCATTTTGTACATATATAAGTTGTAATATTATGTTTATGTTGTATTAATATTAATCTCAGGATGCATTTCCTTGAGTTAAATAAGCTGCGAGCAAAACGCTTCAGTTTACCATGTTCATTCAGCTCTTCAGCTTCAGCACGCGCAGCTCAACGGCTGCTATTTAAAACAGTGGTATTAATTTGTTACTTTTTCAAAATCATTGATACATTATTAATAACAACAACCACTTGTATTTTTCTCTTATTATTTTCATCAACAATATGGTTTAGTAATTAAAATCATTTAATTATTGTCCGTGCAGAGGCTATTCTGTTTTATTGATCTGTGTCGCATTCATTTTGATTCTTTACACGTGTAATGATGTCCAGTGACTTGTTTGCATTATTTATGCATAATTTTATTTATTTGTAAGACTTTTTTATGACTAAATTTGGTAATGGGAGAGTAAAAATATTTTTAAAACGTACACCGTTCAAACTAGGCTGCTTATGTTGAAGTGTTTGGGATGTGGCTTTTAATGATGAGACCTTTTTTGTAATCAGGTTCTCAAAAAGTATATAACAATTTGGATATAGATTTATCGGCCAACATATCGGCTTTCAAAAATAAAGAATAATCGGTTATCGGTATCGGCCAAAATTTTCATATCGGTGCATCCCTAATTTATATTCATATAATTTCATTTATATATGAATATTTAATATATGAACAACATATTTTTCTTAAACATATACATGCATGTGTGTCTATTTATATATACATAATAAATAATCACAGTACACACACATATATTATGTAAACAAATACTTTTATTTTGGATGCGATTAATCATTGACTGCACTAGTTAACACATTGTTTTGTTTGTTATTTTTGGGCTCCCATTTCCAGAGGTAATTTGGACTACACTTTTACTACTTTGAATTTATTTGTTTTCTTTTTGTCTGTTAAATAAAAGATCGCTTTATGGCTATAATTTTTGAGCAACAAAATGGAGTTGTATATTGATTCTGGGTCTGGAGACGGATACATCAATGTCTACCCTCCTTTCATTTAATTGTTCGTATCTATATGGTCCCCCTAGACTAATTTAGAAATGTAACAATTGGGGGCTCGTCCGGGATTCAAAATTGTGTATTTGTTTCTATTTGGTTGGACGTTCGTGTCATACTTTTTTATGAGGAGTGGGTGCTCGTTGATAATGTGACATGAACGTTCTATTGAAAAAGGACAGCGCTGCTCGAAGGTAGGTCCAATTCCTTTTGCTTATCCTGGTCTGTTTTGGGTGGTCTTCGCTTTAGGTGGAGAGGTAGAGGGGAATGGAATTTGATTTAATATCCTTTACCCTTTCTCCATCTTTAGAAGTTTTTGAAAAATGAAGAAAAAAATATGTATTGTTAATTGCAGAGTTTTTTAAAGTCCCCTTGTGGTCAAATATTTTATCCCTTAAAACCTATCTTTGAACATCAAAATGACATATTTAAATGTTTTTTCTTGTGAAAATAATTTTCTCATGCTTTACGCTTAAAGAATTGGATTTGAACATAAAGAAAAGGCAGAGACAACAAACAACACCAGAACACAGAAACACACTAAAAAGAACCATATGTCACATGACGTTACAGGGCATTAATGTTTGCCTACAAAACCACCACTGGCTCTGCACCCCTTTACCTAAATTCATGACTTCAGACTTATGTGCCCTCTAGAAGCTTGCATTCTGCAAGTAAGCGTCCCTTTATTGTTCCACCCTAAAGAGGAACAAAATCCCTTTCACAGACTTTTAAATTAAATGTTCCCTCCTGGTGGAATGACCTGCCCAACTCAGTCCGAGCAGCTGAGCCCTTAGCCATCTTCAAGAATCGGCTAAAAACACATCTCTTCCATCTTTATTTGACCCTCTAACTCTAGCACTCTCTATTCTAATTCCATTCTTTACATAAAAATAAAAAAACTTGCCCCTTTTAGACTTGCACTCTATGTATTTACTAACTGCTTGTTTTCTTTAAAAAAAATTTAAAAAACTAACACTAGCTTCTCTGATCTTTTTGTATTCTGTGTAGCGTCTCGACCAATCTGACACACTAATTTTAATTTGATTTAACAAATCAATTATTCATTAGGTTAACAAATCGTCACAGTCCCCTCACTCAATTAACTGGATGCCAGGATGTCTGCTGAACACCAGGCGCTCTGGTCACCATGACAACTAATCATGATATCACTGGTTTTATGACCCCCCAGGAATGTGAGAAGGATAGCCCACTCTTGTCCCAAGGAAAAGCAGAGTAGAAATGGACTGTGTTCTAGTTAATTCATAGAAAAACCGTTATTTGAATGAACACACATATTTCTTCAGGCCATTGAGTATATTATTACTAGTTATGGTTAATTATTCATATTTCCTGTCGTTGAGCTAAATTCGCTACAAAAAAATTTAAAAAAAACTAACACTAGCTTCTCTGATCTTTTTGTATTCTGTTTGTTTTCTTTTTATTTATTATACAATTAACAAAAGCAAAAAAAGGCCTCTAACACTAGCTTGCTCTTTTTTTTCGATTTTATGTTTTCTTTTTATTTATTATATAATTGAAAAAGTACTTGCTATGTGTACTGCATTAAGCTTAGCTAACTGAGACTTGTTATAGCACTTGTTTATTGTTGCTCTTTTGGTGATTTTGATTGCTTCTATTGTCCTCATTTGTAAGTCGCTTTGGATAAAAGCGTCTGCTAAATGACTAAATGTGAATGTAATGTAAATAATGTTAATGTTTTATACAAATTAAAAGTGACTGATTTATATTAAGGCTTTACTGGTGTAAAATGAGCCTTACCTGATCCGAATCCAGATCTGGATCTTCCTGACATAATCGATACAGAAACGATTTAGGATCCCTGCACAGGGTCTGTTTGGTTGTAACAAAGTAGGTTCCCCCGACATTGAGCCGAACCCACCGAGATCCTGGTTTCTCTGTGGCTTCTGGTGATGGGGAAGTGGGGTTGCTCTTCATAGGGAACCCAAACACTGCTCTGGAGCCGGAGACCCCTGGACTGGACAAGCCACTCCGGGGCGGAACCAGCAGTGTAGGCGAGGGGAGTCTCACGCTCACTGAGCCTCTGATTTCACAATGCTCGGTCTGCTCGATGATGCCAGTCGCGTTGGGCTCAATATGCAACTCTGCCATATTTTCGCAGCACAAACAGTCAGTTCCGTCTTGATCAGACACTAAATGTCTTTATCTAGCGCTCCGCACGGCGCTGTTACGCTAAACACGCGCGGTTTACACGCGCTGATAACGACGACAAAAGCGTTGCGGTGTCTTAGTAACGCGCACGCGAGGCGACATAGCTTACAATTCCCAAAAACCGCTACACCGATCCGTTTTGTTTATACGAGCGACCCATGTAAGCTACCAATATTATGAGCGAGACTCAGATCACTTCCCGGTCAAGTAAATCCATATGTGACAAAATAAAAGTCTGGACAATAATATTTGGGGGATTTGTTTTATGTCAAGGATAATGTGGGTATTATTATTTTAAACTAAAACAATCAACATAACTGCCGGCAACTGCAATAAAGCTGAAATTAAGTCAACTATAAATATTAGACTTACACTTCAGCAATTGCAAATGAATGAATGAAAAATGCTGCACTGGTAACTAACCGAAATAAATACAATTAAGAAACATAAATAATAAAAAAAGCACATGAAAGCTAACAATAAATAAATAAATTGGAAACTTAAAATACAAAAATAAAAACTATTTTTAAATATTAATAAAGACTATAATAATGTATCAATAATGCTAAAAACACTTTAGAATTTGTGGATGGATTGATTCAACAAAGAAAAAAAACCTTTCAATTCAAAAACGTTTATTAAGCACAAAGTCAGAATGAGAGATTTCATTTATGTACATATTGGTTGGTAATCGTTTTAAAATAAATATTACAATAATGTTATTTCATTACCTTTATAATACAAACAAAAATATAATTTTTAAAACTAAAATAATACAACAGTGATTCACAAACACAAGCTTTCTCAGTTGTTTCATTCAGTTTTACATTGTACTGCAAGTACAGTCTAGCTTGAATGGAACCGAAGAAAGTTTTCAAAAGAAACTTGTTGACTAACTTTAAGATATGGATTCGGTACAAAGTCCCATTTCATTTAAAACAGTTTCAATGTCTCTCAGTAGGTTGTGCAGAGGCTCCAGCACTGGAGTGATGTGTTGGTCCACCCATTCCTGAACTGTAGAGTCTGAGTACAGCAGACACATCTCTCCTCTCACCTCTTGCACCTGGCTCTCCACAGCATCAAGAATACTGTTGGAGGAATTGAGAGGAAAGATATGGATATATCATAAAGACCTTGTTAAAAATTCACATGAATAAGACACATTGTGTATCACAGTTTCCACAAAAATATAAAGCAGCACAACTGTTTTCAACATCGGTAAGAAGCAGAAATATTTCTCGGGTACCAAATCAGCATACTAGAATGATTTCTGTAGGATCAAGAGACACTAAAGACTGAAGTAATGAGTGCGGAAAATTCAGATTTGCATCACAGATATAAATTACATGTTTAAATATAGTAAAATAGTCAAACATTTATTTAAAATTGTTATATCAAAGTAATAATATTTCACAATATTACTGTTTTTACTGTATATTTGATCAAATAACCACAGCCTTGGTGAGCACAAGAGACTTCTTTTAAAAACATTAAACAATCTGAGCAACCACAAACTTTTGAAAAGTAGTGTAAATATAAGTATACATATTAAGAAACTTACATTTTTGCCTGTGTTTTAATCTGTTGTGCAATAAGTGGGTTAATTGTCTTTTTTTGCCTGTGGTAGGGTGTGAACCAGCCCCTCACAAACCTGTTATGCAAGAATGAATACAAATGTTTGGTGAAAAGTTAGCCTTAACTTCACAACCATCTTAAAACTTAAGAGGCCCTAAACTCACATATTGTTCTGAAAATGTCTCAGTTCTGCAGACTCCAGCAAAGACGTCAGCTTCACTATGAGTTCAGCTAGTTTTGCCCCAGCAAAGGAGGAAGACGTCCTGGAAGACAATCTGGGACACACAGGCCAAAGAATATTCTGTAAATGAGTCTATTTTAAAGTAACCCTTGAGGTTTCTTAGTGTTACATTAACACATACTTTTTTATCTTTTAGGGCACGAATATAAATATACGGTACCTCTCTGTGTCTTCTACATCCACAGTACCAAGTTTCTCAACCACCTTCTTTTGAGCCTCTTCAGTAAAGCCACCTGAATAATAGCGAACAGCTATAGTGAGTTAAGCATTCTTAATATTTATATACTGCCATCAAATTTACCACCAAAAATAAATCTAAATGAGTGAAAATGAAACTGACTGACCATGCAGAAGAGTTTGCAAACAGGACCCCAGAGAGGGCAAAGCCACAGGCATCAGCTCACACAAAATAGACAAGTGGTCATATCTTAAGAGGAAACAAAGAAACATACATGTAGTTGTCTTGGCCAGTAAGACAATTGTGATTCTAGTGATAGTCAAGATGCCATCTAATCTAACCTTTGCCATCCAGTTAGAGCAATTCCCTGTATCTTAATGCCAGCTGACAGGCTGGATGCTACTTTGAGCCATTGTAAATGGTTGTCCAGATGTCTCTGAGTGCTGGTCACACAGGTGTGCACAGTGGTCGAGCCTTTAAAAGAGCTGGCGGCCCACTGCTGTGACATACCCACAGACTTATATCGTTCCATTAGCATGACTGGAAAAGAACATGTAAAATAATCAAGCATTTTCATGATCAAATAGCTCACAACATTTAACAGTAAAGTGTGTTTTGATCCAATTTACCAGTGTTCTCCACATCTAGAGTAGGGCTGTAATCCCACAACATTGGTTGCACTAATCCAACAAGACCACTCTCTAAAATTAGACCATAAATTGGATAGAAATTGTTATTAGTATAATGCAAAGAAAAGTGTATATACAGTATAAAAGTGATAGCCATGAATTAGAAAATGCAGTATAATTATTTTGGCATAGACTTTAGTTCGATTTGGTAATTTCTCACATAAGATTACATTTATTTATTTCCATTTGATTTATTTCATTTCACGTTGAGTCAATGTGGAGGATGTGGAACATTTAAGATATTTTTGCCCAGTGAAGATAAGAGGTGTTGACCTTTAATGTATCAAGGGGAAGAAGGTGAAAGTATCATAAGCATGCAAAAAGCAACTGAAGGGAAGTGTCTGGTGTCGCATGAGTCAAAGACCGACCATTTATAAAGTGCATCCTGGGTGAACAACCCCTTAAATTTTACATTTAAATTTTAAGTTCCAAACTCACCTACAATATGTACTGTATAAAAAAAAGCTTATTTTAATATACAATTTAAAAGAAGATTATTCATTTTTAAGATTATAGATGAAAAACATTTGAACGTGTTTTTTTTTTTTCACTGTTCACTGTTTTGGAATGACATGAGGATGAGTAAATAATCACAGAATTATTATTTTTGGACTACCCCTTTAAGCATGCATTTATACATATGGAACTATTTATTAAATGCATCCATTCCTCTTATACGCAACAAAATCATGATAATTTTCCAAAATGGGTGATAAATATGTTAACTGCTCGCCTTTAATGGTCTCAGGGGTCATGGACCTGAGCATATCATCCCACATGATCAAATTAAGGTTGGGCGCACTCTCCTGAACGGCCTTTGCCACCTTAATGACATGACTGAGGAACAGCTGGTGAACGCTCCGACCTGGAACATCTAACCAATGTTTGGACTCATCTCCATGACCGAGCATGTACACCTATTAAAAAAAAGATTATTGGATCAACAGACCAATATAAAACTAGCACCCTAAGCTTAAATGTCAAACATCTTTGAACAGGCAACAGTTCACTTGTAGGAATTATTATATTGTAGCCACACATGTGGCATTTTATTGATGGAGGGATGGGCTGTACCTCATCGGCTCCGATGTGCAAGCTGGTACTTTTAGGGTGGAGCTTCATGACTTGTTGTAGCATCTCTTGCACCAGCCTAACTCCTGCATCACGGTGTGGGTTCAGGGTGCCCAGACAGTAGTCCACCTCCCGCAGATCTCTGAACACCTCATGCTTCAGGACAAACTGATTGAGAACATTTTTAAATAGTAAAGAGTTTGAATATGCATAATTCAAATGGATAAATAATTCTTCCTCTCGGTAAATGACAAAAACAGGTTCTTCATTACTTCCAAATGTCCAAATGTCTGAACCAGGGGAATGATCTCCAGCCCTCTACTGTAGGCAGCATCCTGGATAGACACAATCTCATCACGCCTGTTTGGATAATAGGTATTTTTATCAGTCACATAAAAAAAAAAAAAAATATATATATATATATATATTTTGAAAATATATACTTGCCTGTATGGAGGCTGAGTTGTAGATTGAAGAACTTTCAGCTCTCCTTCATAGGGAAACATATCCTCATATTCGATGAGCAAGCCATTGGCACCAAGATCAGCAAATAACTGGATCAGCTGTAGAAACAAAATAGTGGTTAATTCCTTAAAATTTTATTTAAACAGTCATAAAAGAGTAAAATAAGTTGTACCTCAATTAGGTAGCCAATTCTAGGAGGTGCCCCTTTCAGATCCAAATGCACAAACTTTTTGCAACTGCGCAATGACTGGTTCATATCAGGTACTGTTCAATAAAAAAAATCTAGCAGCGTCTTAAAGATATTTTAACTCTTACCTCATATTTAAATCACGGAATCAACAATTGAGACTGTATAATATGTTATTCTTTAATATTTTGTATTTGATCATTTAATAAGTGCTGATACTGTAACTGGAAGACGTTCTCCTTTCATGTATTTCTTAATCAGCCTTGTTCTGTTCCTTTTCAAATATGTACTTTCAACTCAACGAAGCTAAGCATGTGTAAGAACCTCTGTTTACAATCCTTTGCTCCTTTGCACTGTCACGCACACGCCCAACAACATGGCTTCTTCTGTTCTTCTGAGAAGCACGACGGGCATTGTAGTTTTTTGTGCATTTTTAAACTAACAGCAATGCAGATGTAGGACTACAAGCACCTGTATGTCCGCTCAGGACCGGAAGTTGTGAACCGTGGTTCTCCTCAGGCATGTTATTTTAGAATAAAAGCCTAATTTTTTTTTATCTTGATATCTTTAATCTCGCTAATCAAAATTAAATGTAAAGGTAGTATTTAACAAAATCAGTAATAAAATATATATATAAAAATCAGCTTATAAAAAAGTTTAAATGAATAATGATTAGAATTTTATTAGTCTATATTTTTATTCGAAAATTAAATGTTAAAGTAACTAAGAAATTTACTTTTATAGTATCGTTATTTACATTGTAAGAGCATATTTATTTAAGATTCTGGAATCTCTTGCAACAGAATTTGAACGGAGTAAACGTAGCAAATGTCACTCTCTAGTGGACAATGTTTTAATAATACAATACTGGTAATATTGACATTCTACATTTTTATTGGTAACAGGATAGTGGTTCAAATATGTAAGTTCTTCTCATCATGGAAGGGGTGATTCATGAACTGTGAACAACTTTGAGGTTACATTTCACAGACATTCAATAATACTTATAAACTGTTTAAATGCCACAATGTGTGTCGTCATAATTGCTTGTGGAATGTCAGGAATAGAGTAGAAATAGCCTAAATAATAATAATAATAATAATAATAATAATAATAGTTGTTTTTCTAATTGTATTTTCCTATACTGTCTTTAGATGACTAATGAACTCCTTAATAAATAATAAAAGGAAAAGGAAATTGTTAAATTGTCTGTGATCTGGGCACATTTCATTTATTCATTTGGCATGTTTGTTTTGCATTGCTTGTTTTGCTTCTGTTTCAGTTTTTGTGACCATTTCTTGTTATGTGTAAGTGGGTTGTTGTTTTTTGGCATGTAGGTTTGGCAGTGTTGTTTTTTGGGATTACTGATGGACTACTGTCATTTGATTTGTATTATTTGTATTTATTTATTTTGATTTTACTTACATTATGTCTGAATTTATTATGTCTGTATATGTATTTTATTGGGTTTTTAGTTTTATTTGATTTGAGTTGTTTTAGTGCTTCGGCAGGCTGGATGGAAATGAAATAATATATATGTTGCATTTATGGATGTGTATGTACATGTACAGTGTGTGTGTGTGTGTGTGTGTGTGTGGTTGTACATACACATATGTAGTTGTTTTTTTGGTGTTTGGCTTGGTGTTATGTTGGAGTCATTGTTGTGCTCTTATACCTTTTGTTCTTTGGTATTTTGAATTGTTTTTGGCTTTATTTTTTGTTTTTCATTTAAATGTTAAGTTCTGGAGTTTTGTTGTATGCATTTGTCATTTTTATTTAATCTCTTTATTTTTAAAATGTGTATAGGTAGTATTTATAAAGTTTTGGATCTGTTTTTAGTTGTTTTAATACTACAATTGATTGCTTCTGTTTTCCTCATTTGTAAGTCGCTTTGGATAAAAGCGTCTGCTAAATGACTAAATAAATAAATATATATATATATATATATATATATATATATAGGCTATAACATTCTATGCACACAAATAGATAGAAAAATGATAGAAAAGAAAGAAACAAAGAAAATTTATTAATATGGATAGCATAATAAAATCTAAATATTAAATGGATTGCAATGTAAATAAAATACATAAAACAATGAATGCAATATAAAATGCAATAGAATAAATCAAATTCAGCACTAATTGACGTTTATGCAAAAAGTGTGTGACCCAGTGCTGTGCAGAACCACGCAAACGTATGGGATTACCTTTGTGCCAATTAAAATGAATGTAATTTTTCAAGAAACATATAAAAATATAAATTGAAACTGAATAAAAAATTTAAATGCAGGCAAAATCTTTGACTTCGTTTTTTAATACATTGCATGTTTTGCAACTGTTTTCTCTTCTTTCATTAGCTGATCTGTACTTTAAAAAAAAAATGTATTCAAGGAACAATAACACACAATAAAACAACATTAAAATAAGAAAAGAAAAAGATAGAGGGACAAATTACAACAAACAAAAAACAATTGCCAGGGGGAGGAAAGTATAAAACTTCAAAACAAAAATACAAGATATACATACACTTGTATGTATATATAAAATCAAATAAATATATTGTAAAGTTCACAAACTTTACTAGTCAGTAAAACCAAAGAGTACATTTCCCATAGGAGTGAAGAAGGTCTTAAACTCTGAATATTTTCGCTAATAAATTTTTGGACCTTACACCATAGTGTAACCGAGTATGTACAGTACCAAAATAAGTGCAAGGTAGTTTCCTCATACTCATTACAAAAAATACAATTTACATTTATTCCTTTTTTAAATTTTTGTAAATAATGATTTGCTGGATAAAATCTATGAATAAGCTTATAAGAAACTTCTTTAATCTTATTTCTAAGATGATATTTCTGTGGTAACAACCACACTTTTCTCCAGCAAATCAATTTTCCGTTCAAAAAAGAGACCCAATGAGACAAAACATAAGGTACAGTAACAATTTCTCTTTGGAAAAGAGTGCGGATAGCTCTATTATTATTTTTGGGATTTAATGAAAAACAAATTTGACCAATATAAGATTTACTAACATCTAAAGACACTGAATCGGGAGAATGGTATATATCAATACCCTTAAATAGCATGCGAGTACCTGAAGGGATTGAATCAATAACAATTGCAAATTCTTTTTGAGTAACTGGCGTTTTACAATAAGAAAGGAATTCATCATAAGAAAGGAGTGTTCCTTCTTTATTAAATAACTGACTAACCAATTTAATATCGTTGTCAAACCAGTTCATAAAAATAAGAGATTTATGTTTGTAAAGAATGTTTCTATTATTCCAGATAAAATAGCAATGCGGTGAAAAATTATGCTTATATATTTAGGAGCACTTGTGTGTGGAAGGCAGATAACTTAGCTGGAATTTTATCTATATTATAATTACACATCAAAACAAGCAGATCTGTACTTACAAATGCGCTTCCAGAGTTTTCATTTATGCTTCTGAAGTTTGCGTTCGCCATTCTGAGACAAATCTCTCGTGGGGGCGGGGCTAGCAGCAGTTTGTTCTCATTGGCTACTGAGTTTTTGATTGACAGCTTCTTGACCTGGACGTGAAGGCGTCAGTGACAGTGTTGCTTTCCCAGTGTGGATGTGAGCATCTGTTAGCGGCTTCCAATTTCATTTTAACAATATAAAGATATATAAATATTTTTTTATTATTATTTTATCAATATTTATCTGCTGCTACACTACATTGTTGAGATGATTTCTTAGGAATAGCACAGAATCAGAATCAGAATCAGAAGAGCTTTATTACCAAGTATGTTTACACACAAGGAATTTGAGAATGATTTCATCATCCTTATCATCAATCATCTTTGTTATCAGGATACTTGTGGTAAGTTTTCTTGATTTAACCCAATCATTACAGGACCTGGTTATCTACACACAGTTACAGACTTCAATTGGATCATATTTGCTTGAATTAGTTCATATTTTCCCCCAGCACATAATGTACAGTACTAAATGTACTGTATCTGACAATGACCGATGCCATTTTACAAGCGCGCTGTCAATCACTGCACTGTCAACTTTAGCAATGTAAAGCCTTTTTACCATGCTTTTTCTGTGTCCAGATTTGATTGTAATAATAATGCAAATCCTAATACATGCAAATAATTATGACTGAAAATTGTTTCCAGTAACTAGGGTATACACAGTCCTGGATATATAGGGATATACAGCCATCTAATGGTTACACAAGGGTATTACAGATGATAAATGGTGCATAATTTTGAGGTATTTAGTACCAAGTTAATACTAATAATTATATGGTGTATTTATTTATTTTTAAACATTTTAAGTTTGACATGTTTAATGGGAGTTCAAAGCAGTTTGTATTGTTAGACTATAATACATGTCCTTTCTTAATTTCCAGGGAGTGGAGCAACTTTTCCATAAACTTCTAATGCTGACCCAGAGGATGTAATGGTAGTACCAGAGATCCATTGCCCCCATCAGAGAAGATTCTTACTTTGTTCAGACACATCACCTTTGAATGACTGGGATCTTGATCTTCAGACACCTGATATTATGCAAATATTTTAATTTCTTTGGAGCTCTAGATTAAAACAAACACAGTGCACAAGAGGTTGCACTTTATTCGTATTAGTCTATGCTGATCTTGGATCAGCATACCAACAGCATATGATTGTTAAGGGGATAGTTCACTCAAACCAATGCTTTTACACACCCTCATGCTGTTCCAAATGCATATTACTTTCTTTCTACTGGACAGGTAAACACAAATTAAGATTTTTAGACAAATAATCCATCTCTGTGAGTCCTAAAGATGCTTTAAAAACCACACACAGCTACCGTGACAGTAATCCATCTGACCTTAATGGTTGAATCAGTATCTTTTGAAGTGAAACAACAGATAAGAAAAACACTAATAATTTAAACTTTTGACTATTAACAATCACTTCAGATCAATTGTCATACGTGCATGGGTTACAATTCACTTGTGGATTCTCAGAGATGAATTTTTTTCTTAAAAATCTTTGTGTTTATGTCAAGAAAGAAAGTCATATACATCTGGAATGGCATGAAGGCGAGTAAATTAGAGAATTTTTATTTTTTGGGGTGGAATAATCCTGTAAAGACTGATATTGCACTCCATTACATAACTCCATGTTTCATGGATTCTGGTCTTTCCTGTCACAACATGATTGCATCCAAGACTTTCACTTTGATACTTGTGCATATGCTATAGTGACAATAAAGAATGTACATTTATTTGAACTAATTCATATTTGAAAGAGTTGAAAGACTTGAAAGAGTTGATGATTGTTAAAATGTATTTCCAATTTTAAATGTTAGATGATAATGATAACTAAAAATGATCAGCATGA